TTGAAATATAGTTCTGGGTCTAACATTTGAAAAGAACATTTACAATCTTTTCCTGCTTTAAGCTTCTGCCACCACGCTTGGAAACTGGGAAGGGAGAAGAGAGGTGCATATGTGTATCCAAGAATCAAATTTTAGCCCCAAAGTTCTAAAAGACAATTTTGGAAGAGACAAGGGAGAGTTTTGAACACTCATTAAATCTACATAATTTGTCACTGAACTTCATATAAACAGTCATCACCATGCTAAAAGTTGAAGAAAAATCCCGGATCCGCACTTCTATAAGCTGACTTCATTAAGGATCTTAGCTTCTTTGATGTGAAAATAATTCCTTCATATTCCAACACTCCCTCAGTCTACAGCAGTGCCAGTGGGTGTGACATAGTTGTTCTTGCTACATTGTGGTTCTTCTTTCATGTAGACTTAACAACCAAACTGAGCACACTGCGGAGTGGTGGCCATGTGTCACCTTTAATGGGGACCTCAGGTCTGCCCCTGGTTTTCTTCATGACTAACCTCACCATCACATTGCTTTACAATGACACATTGGGGAGAAGGCAGATCATCCCCTCCCAATAAAATGTCCCTGAATCAAGTCGATCTTTCCTCATATGTCTGACACTGTCACCAAATGACCCCATTTCCATGGAACTGCAATTACAACTTTTCTAGAACAAATCTCTTTGTCTACTTCTCTCCTTCATGATAAATCCACACACCACTCCAGTCCAACAAAACCAATGGAAATTTCAAAATTAAGCTCTCTGATGTCATAAATTTATGAATTCTGCACATGCCTGGTTCTGATTTCCTGGATTTTTTTGTTGAAGGAAAGACTGATGCTGCTGACTGTTAATCTTCTATACAAAATAACAGCATGTGAGAAGAGACCTCAGTGAGTGTGATGATCAAAAAGAAAAAAGCCTTCTTACAGTCAAAGAAAACAAAAAGGAGAGAAGATACTTAATGATACAAAATCTGAAAAAGAAAGCCATTGGACTCACTCAAGCATCTCTATTTCCCAAAATGAGATGTAATAGTTCTATGTATTGGTGCTCACAGCAATGTTAGGTAGCCTAACATACACTTCCTATCACAGATGACAGGAAGACCTATCTTTCATCTAGTCAGTCACACAGTTAGTTATCTTCAAGACAGTCTTCATTTGATTGACATGACAGTCATATGCACTGGTTGGCTTTGTTTTGTTCAATTATTACCAACATTTACTGAGCACTTGCCATGAGCCAAACACTGTGCTGGGCCCTGGACCAAATCTGATCAACAGTACAGTGTCTTGCTTTTAACAGATGACACTAACTCAGGACAGCCATCTTCATGTGGTACCTTACACAGACTGAGGACAAGGGTAAAGAGATGGCCCGACCTGTACAATACAAATCATCCCTGCTGCTAAAGAAGTAACTCAGAGCCCAGGCCTGGTGGGGGCGGGGCAGCAGTGATTTTCAGTTTAGGGGCAGGATGTATCCTGCAGGCCACAGTTGGAGAGCTGGTGGGGCATCGTGCATCCCACCTTCTCCCCTGTCTCAGGCCATGTCTCTAATATGAACTGACTCACTGGGCAAAGACAGACAAAACCAGCTGTTAGAAATGAGGTCATTTTTTTTTTCCCCCAAAAAAGTTTCCTTTTATTTCTCTAGGTTTCCCTGGCATCGGAATTCCACATGGGAGTAGAGCGATTTAGAGCAAGTAGACAAACCTTGGATGCAAGCCTTGGCTCTGCCAGTATTAATCATGTAACTTTGGACTCTCTGGGCTATAGATCCTTATCTTTAAAATTAACCAGTTGTCTGTGTGCCCTTTGAAGTTCCTTCTAGACCTAAAATTCTTTGATGCCATTGGAGTTACCAGATTTAGCAAATAAAACACAGGATGCCCAGGGAAATTTGAATTCCAGATAAACAATATGTAATTTTTTTTAGAACAACTATGTCCCAAGTTCTGTATTTTATCTGGCAATCCTAATTCCGTGATTTATCTGCCTGTCCAGGATGAAAGCAAAAGTTCCAGCAAAGGGGAAATGCCTATTCTTGGGGAAAAGGTTGTCAAAGTTGCTAATCTTCTTAAGCAGATTTATATCAGGAAACGTGGGCTCCACTGAATGACTTGACCTCCCTACTCTGATTAGATAGAGTGATTGTCACTCTGTTCCACCTCCGATAGGACTTTTGAGAAGATATGCTCAGTGGTACAGGTAGGCCTCAGGGTCCCTCTCCTCCCTCCCAGCACTCAACCCAATGGCTACTTAACAATTCACAGGCACCACAGAAAGGCAGGCTGGGCAGTTTGAGCTGAAGGAGACAAAAGAAAGAACAATGAGGAAAGAAAAAAAAAAAAAGAATTCAAGGCTTACTGTCAAATAATCATGAACAGATGAGATTTAAAATGTAGCATAAACTCCAACTGGGAACAGAAAATGAAACTGCCAACAGAGATTAAGTTCTAGGAGAGAGAAGGGAAGGCCCAGGCAGGCTAAACCTGGAACCAGAGAGACACACAAAGGCCTGTGGACAAGGCCTTGCATGTGTTGGGTCAATTTTCTCTCTACATGGTCAGACAATTAAGTTTGTGAACTCATCCTAGAAAAAGTGCTACATACCTCATTGCTGAATATCACTATGGTCACCTTTGAAGTACTCCCCT